TTTTTTTTTTAGATTTGATTCTCATAAGGGCTTCTGGTGTCAGTTACTGGAAGAAGGTAAAACAAAATGCCTAGGAAAGAGTAAAGGAAGAAAATACCCTCCAATGGATTCTGATGTAAGTACAATTTAAAAAATATAAACTAAATGTAGAAAAAAATAACAATCTATTTTCTTAGAAAAGTGATGAAAGTCGGGCGTGTAACCCCAGCACTCGGGAGGCTGAGGCAGGAGGATCTTGGTGAGTTCCAGACCAGCCTGGGCTACGTAGTGAGTTCCAGGTAAGTCTCAGCTACATAACTACATAGTGAGACCCTGTCTCAAAAAACTAAAAGTAGAAAAAGAAAAGAAAAGTGATTGAAATCGAAATTCAGCTCTTCTAAAAATAAAAAGTAACATTTCAGTTTCTGTACATCTACCTCTCTTGTGTTGATTTTTCCAATTACATACAATTACTGTCATTCAAGAATTTAAAAAAGGTAGAATTTGCCATTTTGAATCACAGCAAAAAGATATTTCATTTAAAAAAAATAATACCCACATAGGAATTTTAGCACTAAAAATATTAAACTAAGACAAAAATGTATCTACAGTATTAGAAATAAGACCAAATGATTTCTCATTTTTTATTGTCAAATCACTGTACTTTTTAGTATAGCCAGAATAATAATAGTAATTCCTGACATAATGTACCAAGATTTGAGCTTTAATATGCTATAAGCTCAGATAATTAATATATTTCCCAAATACTAAAATACTACCAGATAATTTAGGCTTTGAGGAATGGAAGTGCATACACTGTGGTATCTAGCACTTTATGTTTGCTGTTTTGAATGTTTTGAATGTTCACATGATGAATTGTAACGCCGTAGTTTCCTCAGTTTGTATACCCTGTACTTTTACTTTAATGCTTATTTCAAAAATACTAATATTTATTCATATGTTCATTTAATAATCAGTCAAGTTAGTGTGTACTCTGGATAGAAAAATACAAGTAAATTATGATGTATAATTTTTTAGAACTCCGAAAAAGAAATAGTTGGGATTTTTCCAATATTTAATATATTATGTTAACTGACAATACTGAGATAGTATAAAAATCATCAGATAATGCAAACTTATTAGAACATTTTTATCTGAGAAGACTTTGAGGATCATTCATGATACCAGACCTGATAGAGATAGGCCCTGTGTTCAGTACACTCGTAATTAAATTCTTTATGGAAGGCATGGGGAAGAAAAAGATTATCTTATTTTGACAAAGAAATTATATTATTTTATTAATGAAATGTGCCCTGACACTATTATGTAAACAATTTTACTATATTAAAAGAAATGAAAGGGCACTTTCTATAATATTTCAAGTAAAAGGGTTAGGGATTTAGCTCAGTGGTGCCGCCGCCTGCCTCACAAGTGCAAGGACCCGAGTTTGAACCCCAGTACCAAAAAAAAAAGAAAATGATGTAAAAATATTTTATGTTAAAGCTTTTCCATTTATATATACTTATTACAGCTAAAATGTTTAAAAGATACTGCAAAATGTATTTTTTAGTATTTTATTGTATTTAATCTAACATAGACATGTTTTGAAATAGTACAAAATTTGGTGGAAGACATAGATAAGAAAAAAAGCAGTTTTCAGGATATCAAGTCTATTTCTCTCAATAGGGTTATTGTATAATACATCTTGGATTTATTTGAGTTAAGTGGTGCATTTTTGTGCAAAAGGTACCAGAAAGGAGGCAAAAGTAAAGGAGGCTCCACAGAGGAAATGGAAATACAAATAACGTGGGACAGACAGGAGTGGGCAAGTGTTCTTACCACACTGCTCACCTCTCCTCTGAGGAAACAAAAACGTTAATACCCTGTCCAAAGACCATCAACAAAGCATTTTAGGATGTGCTAAATAAATAGTCCACATGATTAATGCAGTTAATCCAATCTGGTATACTTGATACTTGATTTTGTTTTGGAGGGTTTTGTTTTCTTTCTTTTTTTAAGAGTAGGAAAAAATTACTGAGGGAAAGAAAGCTTCTTTCAAAGAGAGACAGAAGGGGGACTGGAAAGTGGGTTGCCCTCTCACCCCAGTTCTCCAAGATGTTTTATACAGCAAAGCCATGTGGCAAGGCAGGTACAAAGTGGGACAAAATAATAAGACCCAATGGAAAATTACAAGGTGGGCATGAGGTGGGGAAAAACCATGACCAACCAATAATATTACAAGTACAGTCACCCAGGTAATATTGATTAAATGGGAGTCAAGTAGGGGAGCAAGTCACATAGCAAACATACAAGTATTTGCAGTAAGGGTAGGGGTAAGGGACATTTCCTGGAAAGGCTAACCTAAAACCTTGGCCCCTGACCAAGGTGATCACTGCTATTTATCACCAGGATAAAAGCACAAGGGTATAGTCGTTACTCTCCTTTTACAATTCTGGCCTTCAGTGAATGTGTCTGGATTGCTCCTTGTTGTGTTGGCTCCTTGATGGCAGCCCTGTCTAACTGCCTACAGGGTATCTAATTAACTTATCTATCTGAAATATTCCCTCCTCTGAATAAATACCTCTAACTGCTGCGAGCAGGGCAAAGGGTGAAGACAGCTCTGGTTACTTCTAGCTGAAAAGGGTCATACTTGTGATCAGCAGTTAGAGTTACTCTACAGAGGATCTATCTAAAGGCCATTAGTAGGTGCCTGGCATAGTCATCTTGGTATCTACATAGCTTTTAAATCTGGAGGAGACAAAGCCAAAGAAACAGTTAAGAATGCATGGGCCAGATTTTAAGGTCAGCAGGACTGCTATGAATATAGCACAAAGAGGTTAAGGAGAAGGTCCAGGGGACTTCAGAATCCAACAAAGAAATCATATTGTATAGTTTAACAGTTATGAGCTTTTTGCAATGTTGATTTAATGGATCCCAGTAACAGAAGTCTAGCACATTTGTCATTGGTTCTATTTGTATGACTGCTTGGAGTTTGGCAGCCTCTAGGCAAGAATAAATAAAACTTTTAAGAAATTAAGAGTATGCATCATCTCAGCATGAACACACTAGAATGAAAGGGCAGGTTGGAGAGAAAGTCACACTTAGAAATTGAAATAGTGATTGAACCTGCTGGTCTTAGATTCTTTCACTGATAGAGGTTATCTATAAGTCTCATACTTTGTCATCAGTCTCTCTAGTTCTAGCTGTAAGATGAGACAATTTGAAGAACAAATTTCACTAAGAAATATAGAACTCTATAGATTATAGATTTTACCATAGTTTTTTCTTATAGATTTTACCACAGATTTTTCCTAATGATCCATAACCATGGTCAGCTACTGGTAGAACTGGAAACTTCCAGAATTGGTCAGTGACTGGAGACCCTTTTTATATCTAGCTTTATTACTATGGTATTATTTTATACCTCTTTTGGTTAATTCTTTTCTTTTGGGTGTTTTATAGATAGGGTCTCACTATGTAGTTCAGGTTGGTCTTGAACCCACTGGGTAGCCCAGGTTGGCCTACAACTTGTGGTAATCCTGCCTCAGTCTCCTAAGTAGCCAGGAATACAGGTAGCACCTGTACCCTGTACAGGTACCACCACGCCCAGCTGATCTGGCATATTTGACAATTAAACATAATCAAAGTCTCTGAAATGTACTGTAATAAACAAAGTGAAATATACTTTTATCCCTTCCTCCCCATTTAGAGCAGAGCGTTTCTGTCAAGCTACTACAGAGATCACAACGTGGAACTCTCAAAGCTGCTGCACAAACTGGGGCAGCCTCTGCCATCCTGGCTGAGACAGGAGCTGCAGAAAGTCAGATAGCACTGAGAAAAACTTCTTGAGAATTCATCTTCCATGTAATAACACACACCTTTTCCAAAGTTTCAAGAGCTACCAAAAGGCTATCAAAATATATACCTCTTCAAGCAAGAAAAAGAACAAAGTTCCTTCCATGTGCTGGCATGTGGATGATTAGGGAAAGAAAAAAATACCTGTTATAAGCCTTGAGTTCTGTGGCCCTCCTCGAAACCCATACCTGAGCCTGTGGGATTACTGTAGATTACTGTGCACTCATGTGGAAGTCAGTAGCAATCAACCTGCATAACAAATACAAATGCAAAATGTTCATTTCATAGTAACATTTACACTTTTGTATATCAACTAAGATTGAGTCTGTACATTTTTAGATCACTGTTTTCCTGTACATTTTCTTATACTTTGATTTTATAACGTGTCCTACAAACAAGAACTAAAATAAACATCACAATGTACCATAAAATTCCAAAACCATAACATCCATGGAAAATGCTTGCCAACATTTATCTTCACTGAAGTATTTAGAAGAAAATGTACATTATAATTTGTGTTAGACCAGAGAGAGGAAAAGTTATATATGAGCTTTATCTGTATCAAAAAAGATAAGCGCTAAAAAAGTTATTTTTTTCACATATATCTAGTGCATTTGTGTAAGAATGACTAAAGCTTCCATCATAATACAACTGTTATACTGAAATGTATATATATAGTAAACCTGTCAGATGGTAAATAGAAACACACTGAGTATACCAAAACAATAAATAATGTAAATGTACTGACTAAATCTTCTAAAAAAAGCAGAAATGTTAGGGATTTCAAGATACATCATTGAGAATTATATGCCCACTTGTTGTAAGTTGTAAATCGATTGCAGTAGTCCTCTCTAGCTCTACCAAAATGTATTCATGGAGTCTGAAGTATGTATCATCTCCGGAAAGAGATTAACTTTTAAATATGAATGACTTTTTCAATGTTCCCTGGAATAACATTTACTAAATGAAATCTAAGGGCAGTTTCCCTAGATGATCTATTTACGCTATTCACATTTAAATTATTGAAAAACTACATATTCCCATATAGCTCAAAATAAAATTGTATAATGTACAGGTTTATAGCAAAAAGTTAATATATGATTTGTTATCCAATATTTGAAATGGTAACTTTTGATACAAAGCAGTGAAAAATAAGCAAGATAAAGGCCCATTTTTTAAGAATATTTCATACATCACTCATGGAAGAAAATAAAGTTAAATTCCTAGATTACTAAATTATGTTGAGGAATTACAAAAATTAGTAAAGCATGGTTCTCAAAATATATTTACAATTATATTTTAAATGGTATATATGACCAATAAAGTATTCAAAAAAGAAAATAAGGCATACTTATTTTCCTGTGTTACTGTTTACTTAATTTTTAAATGTACTTTACACATGGATAAAATTTAAGTAGCAAATAAATTCCATGCTATTGTTACTTAGCCTTTATAATATAGTACTAAAGATATGATTAGGAAAAAAGATGTGCAAGGAAAAGCTATAGCTAAATATTTCCATTGTCATTATAATATGTGAAATTAAACTTTATCAGTTATTTACTAATTAGAAGGCAAGCTATGATGTCCTTTTACTCACTATTTTAGTGAACATTGTAATTATTAATTAAATTTTTAAAAGTTTTATGTACCCAAAGAATACATTAATTTTTAAAACAAATGTCAGAAAGAATTGGGAAAAAAAGAATTTTAAGACCCCTGACTAAAACAAAAATCAAAGTCATTTGGGAAAATATAGGAGACTTAACTTTCATACTTACTACTGTCTCTTTTGAGGCAGCATAAACTGAACATACTAGGATAGTCATCTTTGTTAATTTAAGAAAAACACAACTGACCCTGCAAAGATTACATACATTAAGCAGTGTTTCTGCTAAGGAAAAAAAAAAGGAAAGGAAACTGTTTCATATATGTTGATAGATGCAATACACATTTGAACTTTAAGTAAAACTGCTTACAGCATCCTTCTGTGTTGACAACTTGAGTTGACTGAACAGCTCATCTTTTAAAAGAAATGTTAAAAACACACTCATTGTTTGTATAATGAAAGGAGAAAAAGGAAGAGACAGTATCCAAATTTACTTGTACACAAGTACATGTTTGATGCCAAAAAAAAGCAACAAACGCTTTGAAAGGATACTTGATTACTTAATATGTCTTGGAGACAGCATTAAATTCTAGGGTCATGCATACTTTTTTAAACTATACTCTACATGAGTATTATGCTATTGTGAAAGTAACAAAATACACATAAAAATGGGAAATAATGAGTCTTAAAGCTAGGTTTGTATAGAATTTCCTTTTTCATTGCTTAAAATATGAAACTTCCTCAGGAAGAAATGAAATGGTTATTTCAATGTTTATAGTTACGATATTCTTGTCATTCACATTGAATGAAAATTACTGGAAAGTTTTTTTTTTCTCTGAGTTTTTTTAAAGAACAAAACTGGATATAATTCTGATAGTGGCATGGTACCTCAAATGTACAACAATAAACTCTGATAAGAAAATGAAGATTTTGGGCCTGCTAATTTTAGGTAATAAGGAAGTATTTTATTGTTTGCCTTGGGGCAGTGGAAAGTTGTTATAAAACACAGATACCACAAGCATAATTTAAAATGGAGGGGTGGATGAAAAGCTTCCAAGTAGAAAACAAGTAAGGTTTTTTTTTAATTTAAACTTTCTAAGATCTTTCTAAAGTTAAATGTTATTTTTTATTTGTTTTTAGTTCTAACATATGTAAAGCAGGATCTATATCCATGGGACCCTAGAATAAGAGAATTAGAGAACCACACAGTTGTTGCTTAACAGAGTTGAAAACTTGAATGGTTAAAGAATTTGACTTCCAATCTCTATTCTGCTCCCCACAAATGGGGCATTTTTTGGAGACTTAATAGTTGTTAATTAGTCTATTTTCATAAAAATCTGGAAAGCAATCTCTACTCCCCAAAAAGGAGAGGGACATTTTAATTCTTCACAAACTTTCTTTTCTCTATTCCAATTCTTTCCCTTTGTTGACATCAAATTTTCTTATGTTGTGACCCATCCTGTCTTGGTTCAAGTGAATTTCCCATAGACTTGTGTCCCACACGTGTTGCTCCTATCTGGAATATATCTTACTGACCATTTTCTTTCCAAAATGCCATCTTTTGTTCTTTTTACTCCAAGATCAACCAGTGACAAGTAAACCAATCCATCAATGTTAGTGTGCTACAGTGACATAATATTATGCTTTCCAGAGATATCAGCCCTGCACTGTCCAAGAAATATATTTAAGCCCTAAGCAATGAATCACTAATAGGCAGGCAATGAATGTTTTGGTATGAAATCATTTCTTTAATTTCAAATTACACTCCATAGATAAATTCTGTTTTGCTGAAGCTAGTTCTGATTAATTACCATCTGCAACATAGCTACTCCTTTCTTCCTATCTATATCCTCACTCTCCTTACAGAGAGAGAGAGAGAGAGAGAGAGAGAGAGAGAGAGAAATTTCCAAGCAGCAGTCATGGTGCATAGTCCTTTCAGCATTATTTCTGGCTTAGCATGGAATGTTCATCATCTTTTCACTTGCTTTTTACAAGAGCTGACTAAATTTCATGGTCAGGAATTTGGCCTTTGAGAATGAAGGCTAAAAACAGTGAGGATGAATTTTATGTCAACTTGACTGGGCCAGATTAAATATTATTTCTGGGCATGTCTGAGAAGGTGTTTCTGGATGACATCAGTATTTGAATTAGTGAACTACATGCCCAATGTATGTGTGCATCATCCAACTCATTGAGGGCCTGAATAGAGTCAAAGATGGAGGAAAAAGGAATGCTCCTTTTTTTCTCTGCCTCACTGATTGACCTGGGACATTTCATCTCACCTCTGTGAGGCTAGGATTTATACCAATGACTCTTTGTTCTCAGGCCCCCTGTCTCAGACTGAATCATATCCCTGTCTTCACACAATTACCAGCTTTCAGACAGCAGATCATAGGACTTCTCAGCATCTATAAGCCTCGGATCCAACTTTTCACGGTAAATCAGACAGATAGATATTTTACCAGTTTCTCTCAGGAACTCTGAAGGATATACAGTGTGACCTGGATTCCATTCCCAAGAAAATCTAAAATCTACTTTGTATACTCCTCTCACCTGTAGCTAAGGGTGGCTAACAGAATTGAGAGGTTGTTTCTTCCCATCCAGTACTACTACTTGTTCTTGCCATTTAATGTCTCCAGTTTTTCTCCATAAGAGTTCTTTATATATATTCAATGAGGGCCGGGCGTTGTGGCGCATGCCTGTAATCCCAGCACTCAGGAGGCTGAGGCAAGAGAATCACTGTGAGTTCGAGACCAGCCTGGGATACATAGTGAGTTCCAAGTCAGTCTCAACTACGTAGTGAGACCCTGCCTCAAAAAATAAACAAACAACAAATATATATTTATAATGATTTAGCAAAAGGTACCAAGTCAAATTTATTTGATTATTTATTATTGGATTAAATCAATCTTTCAACCTCCATATGTACCTTCTTCCATTAATCTTTTAACTATCCCAACCTTTAGGTATCATTTCTCTATCTATTCCCAAAAGTTATAATGACAAAAATTGATGTCACTGAAATTGGAACAAGCTTCATAATAACTATATCCTTTTGCACATCTCTCAAAGAAGAAGGAATCGTGAATAATGTCAGTAAGTCATATATTGCCATTTGAAGTCAGGTGTCACATTTACTATATTAGGGTTCTCCAGAAAAGAAGAAATAGTACCAATAGAAATAGCAACAAAGGATACAAAGACATATGCATAGTCACATGATCTTATAGTTAAGGTCCCATGATATGCTGTCTGCAGGCTGTAGTCCCAGGAAAGTCAGTAGTACATTTCAAAGATCTGAGAGTCAGAGGCTATGCTGGCGCAGGCCTGTAACCCCAGCACTCTAGAAACCTGAGGGAGGAGGATCACAAGTTCAAACTCAACCTGAACAATTTCCAAGATCTTCGCTCAAAAAAAAAAAAAAGGGCTGGGTATGTACCTTGGTGTGAAGACTCTGGGTTCAAACTCTCATAAAAATTTTTTTAAATTTTTTAAAATGAGAGTCAGGGAGCAAATGGTGTAGATTCCACGCTGGGTTTGAAGGTCTGGGAAAAAAAAAAAAGCACTAAGAACAGATCAATGTCCCATCTGAAACAGCCAAGCAGAGTTTATTCCATCTTGTTCTACCTTTTTTGTTCTATTCAGTCCTTTAGTGGATTGAACATTGCCTACCAACATATTAATTCTAATCTTCTCCATAAATACCTTCACAACCATATTTAGAAATAATGTTTAACCAACTATCTAGGCACCTATGACTCAATCAAACTGAAATTTTTAAAGAAGATGGGTCTTCCTTTCT